GCGCCGCTTGATGTCAGGTCCAATTGAATGATCACGAAACCTATCCACTTCATGCACGGGAGCAGAGACAGATTCATATTTCCTTGATCTGTCTTTCGCTTTCCAGCCCCATTGCCCTACCCCCCTCCCTCCACGTAGTTCCTTGGCGATGGTGGACTCGATCTTAGAACGTTTCGATTCCCTCGACCTTGGCTGTCCACCTTGCACGCCTCTTTTTTACCCTCAGAGCCTACGTGAAAGGCTGGATGCGGGCGCAACGGTATACGTTGTCAGCCGTGGCCGTTGTCCGGGTGTCTACCCAAGCTGGTTGATATTTTTGCTGCGAGATTCATCCTGAAGGTTCTGACTCTTTCTCAAGGACAGAATGTGAACGTCAGATAATCCATTTCAACAACCCGCGATATGTGAAGAAGAGTAGCTGGGACGAACTGATTGAATGGTGGATGTATGACTGTGTGCCAGGCTTTCATGGTCACCCGGCTCATCGACCTTCGCATGAGCAAGCTGTACCTCGGACATCTCCTAGGAGATCGACAGAGCTGCCACAAGGTAGTTACTCCCCGGGTCGCTACACACAGTCGCCGTTACGTTACCCAACACTGCAGTCCCGGACCAACTACTCGTCGCAGTCTCAAGGACAAGGTGGCCTAGGCCATGGATACGGGAACACTACAAGGTCATCTTCTTTTGGGTCGCCACGACGCTCAGCCATTTGCTATGGGCTGAAGACCTCATCATCTATGACCAAAGTTTTCTCGAATTTGTGAGTATTATCAGACTTAGCTTCTTCTGGGTATTCAATCATCAATTACCGCTTCAGTGATGACGCTGAGGAAGCAATGTCGAAGATGAGAGACAAGGGCGAAGCGCCTGTTCTGAGCATTAGTTCCAGCCTTAACGAAGTGTTAGATGACTTGCAGGAAAGTGCTTGATGGACATTATCACGTTGTTGTTGTAAATTGTAATATGCCTTCCTTTTCATTCACTGTTGTGACGGATCGGTATTTCTGGGGGGTCAAATATCTTGGAAACTCGTTGACAAGAAGTTCTGAAGTTAACTTGCCCATACCATAAGCACCCTTGGGTGTTGCGATCATATCAGGTGGCACAACATCAGGCTAGAAATTCATATGAGCAACAGAAGGTTATGTCCTTATAATCCGCATACCAGGATGCTACCATTGACAGCAAGAGATGAAGTGAAAATGAATTTTACAGGAGCAGACCTGCCGGCGCCGTATTTGCGGGCAACTTGGAGCATCAATCATACTGAGTCGATGTTCACCTGGACGTCTCAAGTCAGCACAGAGTCAAATGTCAAATGTCAACACCGAGAGCACATGCACCTTCAAATCAAGATCAAAATTGTCTTCTGACCGACGGGACATGATACCGTGCAGACAGTAGACGGGATCTAGAGTACCCAACTCTGTCTGTCTGATATAATTTCTCGATCTCATTTCTCGATCTCATCAGGATTCGTAATCAGCCTTGATAGTAACAGCTTTAGCTCCTTGGGGAGGAGGCTTGGGTTCCACGATGTCTGCAACGATGAGGCTGACATCTGGTGCCTGAGGGTCGAGCGCCAGAGAGCAACGATACCGTGCCACAATCAGCCGGGGCCAGAACATTCAATCATTCCACGTACTCAGCCACCCAGCCAACCGGCTGCTCCGTTATCAATACAGTGTTCGACATGATGAGATGTGGATGATGTTCTGGGGGGAGGAAAGGTCGCACGATCCTCAGGTTTAAAGGATCCGGGAACAAGGGCGGCCGAAATTCCGATTTGAAGAGAAATCTGCGAGCCTTTCAAACAAAACGCTACGTCACGCCATGATGCAGGAAGAACGAGAAATGCATCTGTGCCGGAATGCGGAGAAGCCTGATTTTATCTCGATCGGTTCAGGAATGGGGTCGAAAGCTACGGGCCGAGTCACATTTTGCCTGCACGGATGGATATGTTTCCGACGCCCCTATTCACGTAAAAGCCATGTCGCAGTAGCTGCTATGAAGATGAATGCAGGTGGCGAAGCCTTCCTGGCTCGTGGAATGGAATTTAATGTTATGTATTTTTTTCTTTCGTGAATCGAGCCTGTTGGTTCTATAATTTGCGTCAACAAAGTTCCTGACATGGACAAACCGTGACAGTTTTCCAGTGGAACGTGCCATTCAGAGCAACGACGCACAGTCTTGGTGTAAGACAGGGATACTTACCATGGTTATGTTTTTGGTAAAGTTTTCCTCCATGAGGATCGATGTCAGTCACTTTCGCAGTATCAGAATATTTTCGGTTTGTGTTCATGACTACGTTGTATGTATTGTTGTAAATCCTGGAGATAGGATACCAAAAGCATCGAATTCAGAGCACTGAACAAGGGTAGAAATTGAAACTGTTGAAGTCTAGTGGGAAATTGGAAGTAATCCAATCCAAGATCGTGTCGATGTTCATCGCTATATGGATGCATCAACACCCGTCGAACTGCGAAGTTCACAGGTGCCTCTTACACCTGATCATAGAATATTTTCAAGTGTTGAGAGAACAAAAAGGGCCTCACTGGGAATTGAACCCAGGACCTCCTCGAAAATCGACCCAAACGAGGAATCATGCTACTAGACCATAAGGCCACATCTATCCATCTAACCTTAAAGTACATATTTATAACGAGCTCGTCTTCGTCTTTTCCTTTCCAGTCTGACGACCCTGGCGACTTGACTTGTATGAAGCCATTCACTGGATTCATCCCTTCTGTTTGAACTACCACCGCGGCCCGGACTTTGCCACATCGTCCCTCGGAAATGAACCACTATCACCAGCGGTATCTTCTCCAACATTTATGCACATGTAGACGACTTCTCTACCGAAATGCACGCTATATATCAACCAAAAGGAACGAAACGCTACGAGACGCGTCGTCGTCATCGTCCAGCCCTCCAAAATCCCAACCTTCTTCTGGTGATATAAATTTGGAGCACCAGAAAAGCTGGCTGACACGAAAAGTCGAGTCCTCACCGACGGCGCGCTGGTGGTTCATGAAAATTGTTAATTTGCTGGGGTACGGGACTCCGAAGCAATTGGCGGGAAGAAGGACGTTTCCGTTGTATGCGAAGCTGTGCGCAGCTGCGCCAGATGCAGAGATCGCATTCTGGCAGAAAGGCATGTCTCAGTATTTTCTTTTAGTTTGCAAACGTATTGATTTTTTCTCAGAATGTGATTTGCCGCCAACATTCCAGTCGTGGTTCACTGTCACCAACCTTCATACATGGATGCTTGCTGTCCGTTTCCGTGCCCTTCCATCTCCCCACGGAAAGCAATACGTGCAGGGTCTCGTAGACCACTTTTTCCTTGACATTGAAGACCGGATTCGTGCCGTGCTGCAGCCTCCTTCAAAGCCTACAGAACCCTACACCTTCGAGTCGTCTTTCTACACCAATCCCAATGCACCTACTACCGGACCCGACGGCAAGGTCATACGGCGCAGAGCTGCACCGGAGCGATTGGTATCTCGGCAGATGAAGATCTTCAAGGAGCAATGGGCAGGGATGTGGATGTCTCTCGACTACGCCCTAGTTAAGGGCGACATGCAGTTGGCGGCGGCTGTATGGCGGAACCTGCTTGGTGCTCGTGGAGCAGCAGGCATCGTGTTTCCAGATCCCAAGAACCCCGATGCTCCTGCTCTGTACCGTCGCACTGTCAACCTCGTCGGAGGCTTAGTGGAAAACATTGAGAGAATTGACTTCGAGAAGGAAGCGCACCGGGATGATGGGTCTGGCGTCCACGATTATGCGCCCTCCGAGGCGGATAAATACGTCAAATATCCCGACCTCATGCTCGATGTGGTGACATATCTTCGCAGAGAGCTGGCTCGACTGGAGAATATCAGTGACGAAGAGATCATGCATGGCGATATTGCCGGCCTGGGTTTTGGTCGAATCGGCGAGTCCAATGTCGACGCGTCTGGATCCAGCGACGCGACGAAGTCGAGCGGTGCACCCCCCGCTGGTGGCGCGTCGACGCCTAATGACACTGCCGAGTCCAGCAACGCTCTCAAGACAGCCCCTCCGAAGCCCACCAAGCTTTCTACAAGCGAAACCACCAAATTCGGTGCCACGTCGAAGGCGTCAAAGACAAATTCCTTGAAAGATGGAAAGCCCAAGCCCAGCAGCTCGCTGAAACTTAGCACTTCTAAAGCAAGCGTCGCATCCAAAACAAGTGACGCGAAGGGCTTATTTTCCAGGCCAAAAGCAACGAAACCCAATACACCTTTAAAGAAATGACCGTAACCTACTCTCTAATTGATGCTGTACCATTATTGTTCCTCGTCGTCTTTGATCATCTGGCAGAGGTAATAAATATCGATTTCAGAGGTCAATTCTAAATTGGATAAAGCGAAATGCCCCTTCGGCTTTCACGATGTATTGTATACCGGAAGAATTCTCATTTACAGTATTTAACCGATACTATCATAGTCTTCCCTGCTATCACCAGCTCAAAAACCTCGACCACGCACCGGAACAACCGCTCTAGGTAGGACGACTTTTTGACTGGATAACTTCCTACTTCAGCTTCACTCTTAATATTATCAATTTTCTTCCGTGCTCAGTGCTCAAAATTTGCTTTTGGTATCCTATACCCAAGATGTACAATGATAGATACTACTATGGGTGGTCGGCATGTGCAAATGGATCGCGATGCGTAAGTTTTGGTTTGCAGCACATTCTGGCTACTTGTTGCCTTCAGTTTTTTTTTTCCTGATGAATCAAAGAAATTGTATAACTAATTGTGCACGCTATAAAGGATGATCGATGACCAACCGATCGATCCAGACAACTTTTACCAAAGACATAAACAAGGTGTTCCTGTCTTTCCAACTCAATCCTATGACACGTACAGAGACTGTACGTCGCTCTTCAGAACGCCGCGTTCGAGTGTCGTTAGTCGTATGTTTCGGTTTGTTAACGCAAAAATACAGTACCTAATAGAAGTCCACTACGTCATCGGCTTGATGGTCTAGTAGTATGATTCCTTGTTAGGGTATACTGCCATTAGTATAAATCATATCGAGGAGGTCCTGGGTTCAATTCCCAGTCAAGCCCTTTCGCCCTTGCTTTTTTTAGATTTTTACCCTCCCTTTAGGGTTTCGTCCCGCAACCCTAGTTAGTGTGCACAGTGCAATGACATGCTTGACAGGTCAAATACAGGTCCGAAACAGCCCCAATGTCGGAGATTCTGCACTCTCCTTTTAAAGCAATGTAAGGCACCGAAAGGCAATTTAGGCCGATAATAAAGCCTTACTAACCGAGAGTCAGATCTAATGTTCCTCATCCATTCTCTGCCATTACCTACTTGGTAAGGCCGCTTATCGGATGCCTAATAAGGATACATCGGGTATATATGTTATCTTATCAGCTAGATTATTTTTTGTTTTTCCTAACAAGGTCAGAGCACAATCTCCGACACAGTCTATCGTACGCAACCTTAGTTGGTACTCAACTGTTGAGGCTGAATGCAGTCCGGATTTCCCCAAGGTCAAGTCGGTCTTGTAGCCGTTAGTCATCCCCCGGGTATCACCAACATCAATGTAGTACACTTCGTAGCTAGCTGCGGTACGGACGTCGTTATGTTTCTGTTCAGGAGCAACGATGATTTCCTTCCTTCCTATCCTATAATTAAAATTTACCTCGTTTTATGCATTGAATAGCGTCTCCTGAATGGCGCCTGTTCAGACATAGACGTCCCGTTGACCAGCTGTCAGACCCTCTACTTCATTATTTCTACTACGTGCTCAAGTACTATTACGTCGTTGCATCCGTTGATACTATACGAGGACCACGAATTTACACTGGTTATCGTTTTTACTCCCTGCACAGTCCATTCACAACATCAGACATGGCACTACTGCAAAATAAAGGCTCACCTACACATCCGCACCCCTCAAAATCTCCTCGAATCTGTTCCTCAGTGTTTACACCTCTCTCTTATGAACGTCCTCCGTACTCGACCCACAGTCTACTAGCAACGCCTTGCATTCCTGGATGAACTGCTCGAGGTCCTTCGCCACCATTAGGGATCGCTCCGGTTCGTTCGACCCTCGGGTTCTGGTGAGGAATGCTGCTGTAAGCGTTGATATAGCCCCTAGGAAATTGTGATTGAGACTTAAATTCGGGAAAATAGGATGACGAGAATATACGGAGGACGGGCAGCACGATCGTAATCTAAGATCAAAAGAGCCTTCGGTCACTGTACTCAAGTACGGAGTAAGCTCTCACCTCGCGTCCGGTAACAAGTGCTGATATGGCAGTAGTTAGAGAGCCGACAAGAAGCTGTACGCCTATACAGTGCCCTGTCATCTCATTGTAATTTTCCTTGAGGAGATGGCTTACCGATAGCAACATTCATGGCGTATCCCTTCATCATTGCGCGTTGCGCGTACTTCTTCCTCTCTTCCTCTGCCGCTATAACCGTAGGTAGCACTCGTTCCTCTACTGTTTTTACATGTATCTGTCTAAATGAGTGGATTGGATCAGTATCCAAAGAAGTAACTTACCTTAGTAGGCTCGTAAGGAACGATCCAGTCGAGCTCTGGTATGGGGGGAAGGGGTCTGTTGGCGCGTTCATGTCGGATCCGAAGTAGGTTCGAAGTGTCTATATTACTAGGACGCGCATTATTCGTTTGTAGGATAGATGCAGAGATTTCAGTCGGGGTGGTACTAGCTGCTGGTCTCGGGACAGTCGGTGCAGTCGTTTCTGATGGTTTCGTGGAAGTGGGGCCACGGTCCTGGAGCGTCGTGTTCGTTAATGTAGGTTCAACAATAGCTACGTCTGCGATGAGGGCAGGCGCGGCGGTAGAAATCGCTGAAGGAGCAGAGGGCTTCGTCGTAGCGGAAGCTGGATTTTCAGGGATATGAGTCAGTTTCGTGGGTGCATATTTGGCATCAGGAGATGGAGGGGTTGACTGCAATGAGGTCGAAGATGGCTTATTATCAGTCGCTGCTGTAGGGGCTGATGGTTTGGTTTGTGTAGAAGCAGAGATACTCAGCTGAGGCTGGGATATGATCGTCTGTGTAGGAGCCAGTGTTTCCGATGGCGAAGGAGTATTTCCTGTTGTCAGAGTGGCTGGAGGAACTTTTTCCAGCAAGGGAGCAACAGTACATAGCACGGTAGGAGATGCAGATGTCGGGAGGGGTATGCTTGGTGAATCGGCTGGAGTGGGAGCCGTCAACGTGAGGGCAGTCGCTGACGGGATACTAGCCTGTATAGGCAGCCCTTTCTGGGCGTGCAACTCTGGCATTGTTGCACTACCTTGGGTCAGAGAGAACACAAAGAAGATGCATACGGTGTAGTTGATATAACGAGGGTATCCGAACATCTTGATCATGTTTCAACTAAGGAGAATGTTCCGTTAATCTTCTACGTCGACAGAAAGCTGTGGGATTGACTGTTGCGTCCGTCAGCTCTGATCCTTCGACAAGACCTAACCAAAGATAAGGAATCTCGGTCAAGGATGTTACAGATGCAGTGACATGGAAGTCATTTGGAAGTTCAAGGATTGCCTCCACGGCTAACGTGATCCTTCGTGTCGGACCAGTAAATGCCATAAAATGCGGCGTGTATCTATCAACTTGTCATCGGTGAAAGAATTCACAGTAAAGACCCATCTGGTCAGGGACAGAAGGCAGTCAGGGTGAGTGATATTGCACCGCATTCGGTGTAGCATCTGGAAGTGCAGAAGCCTGCGGTTCCGAAACCTTGACAGAACTCGTCGCCCAACGCTTCAGATCAGAATTGAAATAGTTTAGAATAATATGCTACAGTGACTACATGATGTTCAGACACAATTTAAGGAAAAGGGAGGGCCACCCACCTGATCATACAAATAATAAAAATTAGAGCCGTTGTCACGTTGGTCCCCTTCGCCCATCAGCGCCTTGAACATACATGCCAACATGAACTCTGGCTAGACGGCTTGCGGTTTCTTCGTTTACTGGTTTCAATTTAATATTGGCACGCTTAGAATGGGGCTCAGCTGATGTTCAGACTCGAAGCAGAGCACCTAATCACCATAGCGAAGCATACCCCACGATATATCCAGTTGAAGACCTCCTTGTACTCTGGATGTGTCTTGGGAAGGAGATGTGTTGGAATGCTTCTACTGACGATTCCTTTGACAGTCTATCGAATGTTAGATACCCAAAGAAAAGAAACAAAAACAAAAACACGAACATCTTTGTTATTCCTCTCTATCGTCGGCCCAACCTCCGGCTCCACCTGAGACGGTTTCCTCTTCAGAGTCTTCGCTGGTATTGCAGGGACCTTGAACTGTGGCTTTGGTGGGAAAAGGTCTCTACCCTTAGCATACAAGAGTGGTGGTGGCTTGCGGGGAGTGGGATCATCAGGGCGGGGCAATACCACTGGTGGCGGTGTTATCCGTGCAGCTAGTAGCTGCAATGTATTATTCTCTATTGAAGACGCGTAAATAACGATATCCGTCGCGTCCGTATCCCCAAGCGCGACCTGAACGCCTATCAAATGGGTTTGCTCCGGTCGGAGGCAGAAAATGTTCTGAAAGTAGACTGTGGAAAGAACAGCCTGAGGATGTATATCTAGCACAATTCTTGGTGCTGCATTGACGTCATAGTAGACATCAGCGAGGCTGATGACGGCGACGAAGCGTATTGCAATGCCACGAAGTGATTCCAGGGCCAAGGCGAGGGGGTTTTGTAGCAAGGTCGTCTGTGCGGTGAGCATGGCAGAGAAGGCGATGCCATCGAGGGTTACGTGGGAGTCAGGAAGCGCCAGGCTGCCTCTGTACACCAGTCTGCTCGATGTTCGAGTGGGCGAGTTCATCGTCGAGGATGACGTCGGAGGCCTTCCATTTCTGGGCGTGTTTGATCATGTGCCTGTCTGTCACTCACCTGGGCCGTCACCATGAAGCTACCACTCCTCGCTGCACCACTGCTTTCTGCGCTTTACTACCCGCCGCAAACGACACATAGCTCACCGCGACCATTGGTTCTTTGGCATGGCCTAGGTTTGCCACTCACTAGCCCCATGCCTTTTAAGCATACCTGACACCAGCATACAGGCGACTCATATTCTTCTCCTGGGATGGTGCAATTTGCATCCATGATTGAAGACGTTCACCCAGGAATATTCATACACTCAATCTACATCGACGAACTTCAGGACAATGACCGCAAAGCCGGCTTTGTGCGCAACTAATACTTTTCTCTTCCGTCGCGCCATTAATCAGACTGGGTAGGCAGTACGGCAACGTGAATGCCCAAATTGAGCTTGTCTCCAACCAATTACGAGGTATTCCCGAGTTGACAGGCGGATTTGATGCGATTGGCTTTTCCCAAGGCGGGCAGTTCCTACGGGCTTATGTGGAGCAGTACAACGACCCACCGGTCAACAATCTCATAACATTTGGCTCACAGCACATGGGGATATCAGATATTCCGATATGCGGTGCTTGGGACCTCCTGTGTCAGGTTGCCAGGCGTGCTACGAAAAGCGCAGTCTACAGCAAATGGGCTCAGGAAAATCTCGTCCAGGTATGATATGGCATCAGTACGCCTCTTTACCAAACTCACCTATGCATAGGCCCAATATTTCCGAGATCCCAATAACCTCCCAATGTATCTCTCTGCCAATCATTTCCTGACGACCATCAACAACGAACTCCCACCGGACGTTCAGCCCCGAAACCAAACCTACGCTCACAACTTAGCCTCTCTCAATTCGCTCGTTCTCGTCATGTTCCTGCAGGACAGGACCGTCGTCCCGAAAGAGAGTTCTTGGTTTGCTAGTGAGGCACCTCCAGATGACATGGGACCAGGACAAGATGTCTTGTCGTCGTCCAGAGACAAGAACATCATTCCTATGAAATTGCAGTCTCTGTATCGAGAAGACTGGATAGGGCTGAAGGCTCTAGATGAACGAGGCGGGGTGGTATTAACTACCTGCGATGGTGAGCACATGCAAGTGGATCGCGCTTGCTGGGAACCATTGGTGAAGGAGTTTGTAGGAGGATTAATTGACTGATTCTGTTTCTCTCTGTGTATCCCTTACCAGCATTCTTCGACTGTACATT